CTGAAAATCACTCGTTCGTATGCCTGCGGGGCGCGCTTCACACTTTCCCCAGGCGACCGCACGACACAATCCTACCGATTTTTATCCTCGTGTACAGGAACATTAAGGTTGTAACCATTTTCCGTAATATCTTACATGCTATTCATAGTTTTGTCTTTTCCCTTACGTTAAACGTTTACGTTGGTTTCGGCTTTCCATAGACAAGTGTTCTTACCACTGGCGCTAGCAACAGTGGCTATACGGCTAGCGAATCCAATGCTATGTTTTCATAAGACGTTAATACAAGCTGTTGCGCTGCCATGGCCGACGCCGACACCAGGTGGCGATAGAATATCACCCCACACCCCTGGTGACAGTTGTTTACTCCGTGCAAATGACAGTAATTTTCATTCCACGGGTCCGACCCATCACCTATCGCAGCCTATCCTGCTTTTTTCCCTTCCCCCACTCCCCACGCAATGACCTCTACATTTCGACCTCGCCATGCGGGCGGCGAGAATAAGACGAGTTGTAATTATAAGACAAGTATTAGCCCTATCCAATTGCACTATTCTCGGTATCCATGCAATTCTACCGGCCCAATGATGAATTGCCGAAAAAAATGCTTGCCAACTAGACTTTTCAAATATCATATTCTTGCCACCAATATGTTACCCGATGTGCCTGCCCATACGAAAAATGTCGCTCAGTCCTGTTTTCCACCACTACCCAAACACGAGCTGCCCCTCCAGACCTGATGATAATATACCTAACATTTTCCGAGCCGACTTCTGAGTCAATCAAGAAAAGTTTCTTTGCCATTATAAGTGACTTTAAAATCGATACATATGTTTACACGAGTCAACAACTGATAAAAGGGATAGGAATTAAAAGAAAGCCTACTTAGAGATAAACAGAAAAATTCTTGAGACTGAAGCACAATATTGTTTCTCCAAAAAAAAATACTCTTGTGTAGCTTCTTGTGTAGAATCTTGTGCAGATTGGGCCAAACAGTCAATAGAGAGAGAGAAAGGCGCAATTATATGAAGCAGAGAGAAAGCACACATTGGCTGAGTATGAAGAGGACGGGGAAAGATTTTTCCCCAAAGAGCGGACACACCATTAGCTTGATTACTTATGCAACAGGAGTAGCATGTTAAGGCAGCGTTCCAAGCGGAAGTAACAGGCAGGAGTCTAGCATTAGCTCATTTTGCGGAATGTAAGCACTGGGAAGTGGTAGCGGTTTAGTCAAAAGAGGGGAGTCCGAATAGCCGTCTCTACTGAGAACACCGGTAGTGCATGGCTCAATGTGTTGTTCGCACAATAACCCGTTCTGTGCGAGTTACGCATCTTGACGTCATTAGTGCCAGGATTGCGACCAGTACACTGAATACGCCACCCACAACTGCAAGGAAGTAGGACCAGCGATGATTTATTTTGGCAGTGAACAGTAAGATGCCCGAGACAATTAAGGCCACTCCGAGGTAGAGGATAAGGAAACGGGTAGTGATGAGGCCGGCAGGCACAACAGAAGAACAAATCAGCACAAGATCAATGACGAAGATTATGATGAGGCAAGCCAAACCGATCAGGAGGAGGGCAGCAACTGCAATGATGATGTCGCGGTCACGACCATCGGCGCAGGACTTAAGGAGGTTTCCGCAGCCCCATTCTGGAAAAACCAAGGCGAGAACGATCACTGTAATAGCGAGGCCCAGAAGAGAGGCTGTAAGACGGTGCATTTCCACTCAGCTAACCCTGTCGCTCCTGGGTGTTCCTAGTTGCCTTAACACGACTAAGCGGCCGGATTGAAAAACGTTCCTGCTCTGGCGCGAGAGTTGATTGGTTGAGGTTACACCAATGAGGATGCAAGCTGAGTCGACAATTGGGAAAAGCCAACCAAGGCATACGTGTGATTGGATGGAAAAGCGCCGAATCAGTGTCCCAGTAATTGAGACCAACACGCGCGAGCCCAAGTAACGCGCCAGGAATTGGCAAACACGTTTTTTGTGGATTTTGGCCACGTCGGCACTGAACGTTCAAATAGAGGGCCTCCGTGAGTGATCGCTTTCTGCAAAGTCAGCATTAGTTATAAGAAACAGAATATCACTAAAATTTCAAAAGGCCACAACGCCCGCGAATGAAATTTTGATGGCATACCTCGGTTACTGGATCACACTCTTAACGAACGCCTACAGAAGCTTTGCAAAACGAATCCAAGTCCATGAGTAAATAGGGTGGTATGAATGTAAGTCCTAGGTTGAGTATTTGAGGAATCACAAGCGTTCAATATGGAAGATTTATTTGCCGCTCTGCGGTTCGAAAATTTCACTGGGATAACCATTATCGATAACTAAGAACGTATACAATGATGCAGCCACCCTGCTGAGCTTATTCACTTTCATCGTTGCTCCACTGATGCCACCTCCACTATCTGAGTGCCTTAATGTCTACGTCTGAACCTAGCTCTCTCGGACGGGACATGCAACTTAGTCAGGCACCAACCAAACGGACGCCTAAAGCCAAAGGTCAAACAACTGCCTCACCGTGTAACACTGTTCGTATTCACAAACCCAAATACATCGGTACCCGGACAAAAACTCCCAAACAAAAGTGGCATGACGAATAGCAGATAGGTATATTGGTGAAAAGAAAAACCCAAAAATTCCTAAAAGGAACAGTGGGTGGTGAAGGTGCGAGGATTTGGTGGCGGTTAAATTGTAGGAATGTGCATAGTAAATGTTTAAGCTTGGGAAAGGGGGGAAGCATTTGCAGAAACACCAATGAGAAGAGTAAAAGCGGTCTTTGTAGAGGCATAGGCGATTTCACATAGAACTTTCTCAATAAGGCTGAATCAATTATGAAGATCTCAAAATGTGTTAAACGATAGAAAAGTTTTCAAAACAGCCAATGGACATGATCTCATGTAGCGATACTGGGGGGCACATTTCACGGCCGCATGCTCGTTGAAGGGTTCTCAGGCCGATGCAAACACATCTTCTCTCCATCCCTAGCGTGTGGTTCGTACAACGACACGCTCAGTTCGCGTCACGCACCTAGAGGTCATGATCGCCAGGATGGCCACAAGAACCGCGAAAATGGCGCCGATCACTGCAAGGAAATGAGACCAAAGACCATTCCTCCTCGCCGTGAACACAATGACGGCTGTCAATATGGGTGCTGTGCCCAAATACAGCAGGACGAATCGCGCGGTGATGAGACCGGCGGGCATGACGCTTGAGCAGATCAAGACGAGGTCGATGATGAAGATGATAATCAAGAAGGCCAGGCCAATTATGAGAAGGGCAGCGACGGCAAATATAGTCTCACGATCATAACCTCGGGAAAAATTTTCGAAGAGATTGCCGCAGCTCCAGTGTGGAATGGCCAAAGCAGTGATAATTGCCCAATGTCGTTGCCCAAGAGTATGGCGGTGAGATGACGCATCGCCCAGTCGCGCTCGACCCAGATCA